CCCGGCCTGGGGACTTGTTTCAAAACCGGATTCCCCCACCTCTCAAACACACGCTCCTACCCCAATCCTGGCAAATCCAGCCGGCTCCGGGGGCCCCACCCCGGACCCTGGGGGTTCAGGGGCGCTGGCTGGGCTGGGGGCCGCTGGCTGGGGGTTACCGAGCCCAGGGCGCCTTGCACTTGGCGCTGGAAGCGCCCTAGGGTATCTTTCCTCACCGCTTCCCGCCTCCTCCCCCAAGTAGGGGCTGTTGTACCCAGCTTTCGGATGTGAAAATTGAGCCTGTTGGGTGGGAAGCAGTCATTTCCCCAGGAGACACTGGCAGTCCTGGGATAGGGGCTGGAGAGGAAGACACGAGAAAGCCGGGGAGCAACCTGGAGGTTTTGGGGGCCATAGCTGGGAGGATCGAGGGGCTGCGGACCTGGCCACCTCCTCGCTGCCTCCCTTCTGGGACAGAGGACCCAAGGCAGTGATTCTGCCGGGCGGTGCTCAGCGGGGACTGAGGACAGGTCACTTCCACCAGTGGCAAGGGGGATGGAGTTTCCAATAGCAGATCTGATCGATGGCCCAGACCTTAGGCCTCAACCCTGGGACTGACAGTTCCGGGACAGTGCCCACCCAGCCTGCGCTTTTCTCGCTGCTAACCCTCAAGGCCTGGTCCCTGGGGGGACCACCACGAGGTGCTGTGATCAGAGCAGCTGCTGGGTGGCAGAGCCATGACCTGTGACCTCTCTGCTGACCCATGGCTTCTCAGGGCCACTAGCCAGGCCCAGCACTCCTGGCGTCTTTGTTTCTCCGGGGGCCCCGGTCCAGGGGAGTGCCCCAGACCACCCTCGGAATCCTGAGTCTTAATCCCTGGTTTAGCTGAGTTCCTTTTAACCTCTGGTGACCGCCTTTGTTAGTCAAAGGGTCACTTGTCCCGATCAATGCTCACCGGGGGATTCCAGGAAGGGGGTTGAAAGGGGCTGGAGGGGGAGGGGAGGCGGGGAGCTGAGCTCTACAGAGCTTTCTGGACTCGCTGCAGCAGAGCCCCGTGGAGCTCTGATTGTTCAGGCGGTGCTGGGCACGGCCTGGGCACCTCCTGGGGTTGGAGACGGTGTGGGGAGGCGCAGAGCTCAGTGTTGGCACCAGGAGCCTTCTCAGCCCCTGGGGTCTCCCTGGTGGCTCCTTAGAAGAGATGGAGCTTGATGCAAGGGGAGCGTGGGAAGAAGGCATTCCAGCAAGCAGCAGGCAGCCGGGTGGCTGCCAGCTGGAGGGAAAAGCCGGAGGGGCCCTGGGTGGTGGGCGGGTGGGACATCGGAGACCCCTGTTAGAAAAGGAAGGAGGCTCAGAGACCCCTGATTGTATAGATGAGGAAGCTGAGGGCCTGAGAGAAGGCGTGGTAAAACTCTCCCCGGCCGGCGAGTCTCTGCATTCTCTGTCACTGTTCTTTTCTGTCTACGGTTTGCGAACAATTCTCCCTGTGCGTGTGTGACTGAATGAACACCCCAGGACTTGCGGGCCAGAGTGGCTCACTGCGCCGCTGATCCTTTTCCACAGAGAAGTTTGTAAGTGGAAGGGTTTCAAAAAGCCTCCTAATTGCACAGTTCGATAAAAACAGCTGGATGTCCTGTGGGCCTTTTGTTTCTTTGGGGAAGAAGCGTCTTTGAGTTTCAGCAGGTTTAATCTGGTACGGTTTGGGAAGGGGCTTTGGAAGACTGCCTGGCCCCTGTCTGCAGCTGTGAGGCCCCCGGAGCCCTGTGTGTAAGGCCACAAGTGGCACCACCCGAGAGCTGTGGGGCTCTCTCCGAGAGCTGCTCTCCGAGAGCTGTGGGGCTGCAGACGGTGAGCCTGTTAGCTGATCTGCAGAAACTCCTTTGGTGACGGCCACTTAAATGGAGAAGGGCCTGATCTTTCTTGCCAAAGGGCCGAGAGGAGCCGCCTGTCTGTCCTGTGTCTGTCTGTCCCGTTGGGCGTTACTGAGAGCTGGGTGGGAGGGAGAGGAGAGGAGGAGGTGTTAGGAAAAGACGATTGTGTTTTCTCCAAAGCTTTCTTGGCCTCTGGCTGCGGCTGGGCAGCATTTCCAACTGATTAAAAGAAAGTTGGGAGGGAGAACAAAGACCAGGGAGGACTTGGCTTGAAAACATGTGGTCTGTGCCGCCACTCCTGGAAATTTCCCAGTCAGGAGGTGGGGTCCGGGGCACCCAATGCGTGAAGATGAGACTCTGTGCCCTGGGGGTCAGCTCTGGGGCCTCTCCTGCCACACCCACAGCTCTAGCTCACACCCTGCTCCTGGGCCCCGCTCCTGGCCCTGCTGAGGGACCCCAACTCAGGGCTGCATTTGCCACCCCTGCAGGTGTGTGGGGCAGGAGGAGGGGCACGCGGCTGACTCACGTTCAGGTGCTGGAGGCTCCACAGGCCTTGTGAGACTAGAAATCAGTTTGCATCAGAAAAAGCCACAATATGCTTTGGTGGTTTTCTCATTTGTAAAATGAAGAGAACAAAAACCTACTTCTTAGGTTGCCTTGAGGATTAAGAGAGAGAACCTAGGATGGTGTCTACCATGGCAGCTATATTATTATTATTTTATTTTTGAGACAGAGTTTCGCTCTTGTCATCCAGGCTGGAGTACAATGCCATGATCTCGACTCACTGCGACCTCTGCCTCCCGGGTTCAAGCAATTCTTCTGCCTCAGCCTCCCCAGCAACTGGGATTACAGGCGCCCGCCACCACGCCCAGCTAATTTTTGTATTTTTAGTGGAGACAGCGTTTCACCATGTTGGCCAGGCTGGTCTCGAACTCCTGACCTCTGGTGATCCACCTGCCTCGGCCTCCCAAAGTGCTGGGATTACTGGCATGAGCCACCGTGCTGGCCAGCAGCTCTATTATTAATGTTAGCTATTATTCCTGTTGTCCCCTTCCCTAGGAAGTGTTGGCACCAGGTGCTTTCGCAGCCCTTGGGGGCTCCCTGGAAGCTCTTTGGAGGAGATGGGGCTAGATGTGAGGGGAGCACGGGAAGAGCACGATTCTGCCAACACCCCAGAATCATTCTCCCCAAGATGCCTCTGAATGTTCTACTACTGCTGAATTTCCCAGCCAGGCGCTGAGAAGAAGGCCCCATGGAGCTACGGGACTGGCAGCTGTCAGTGCCAAACCCGTGTCGGGAAAAGTGGTGTTCTTAGCCATTCAGTCATTCATTCACAAAGGGACAGCTCAGTGCCAGACACTGCTCTATATCTTGTGGCTGTGGCAGGAAAGGAGAGATACCTGGTCCCCCCCCCCACCCCCCCGCCCATGCAACTCACATTCCCTAGGAGATCCAGAAAAATGAACTGAGCCCTACTGGCAGAGTCAGGGAAGACTTCCTGGAGGAAGCGGCATGCAAACTGGGAACCTGAGGAGGAAAAGGCAGTGGCTAAGTCTGTGAGTGGGGCTGGGAGGATGGGGGAAAGGGTGTTCCTGGCAGGGGAAATGGCAGGGCCAAAGACCTGGAAGGAACAGAAAACATGAGACTTCCAGGGAAACCCCCTCCTTCTACCCACTTCCAGTTCCTTCCAGTTCCACCAGTTCCTTCCAGCTCCTTCCAGCTCCTTCCAGTTCCTTCCAGCTCCTTCCAGTTCCACCCCCTCCTCACCACTGGGGGGACTGTGCTGTCTAGCGACTTCTCCAGCAGCTTCCCCGACCTGGTGAGACTTTAAAGCTGGGCTCTGAGCACTGGGCACCTGGGCAGGGCCGCTTTTCAGGTGAAGTTTATTAGAACAGTTCTAAGAAGGCGTGTAGTTATTTTGCCAGCATATTTTATACAACAAGATTTTCCTTTTGCAGAATAGCAAATCATAACAATTTGATGAATGAATCCTTTTGTAGGCCCCATATGGTTCCAGTTTCCTTGTCATGATCTCACATGTGGCCCCATAACTGAACAGGGTGGGAGTGGGGAACCATTGTGTCAACTTCCCTGGGATCGGAGACCCCCTCAGGCTGGAGGGGAGCTCAGGGCTGGCTAAGTCATCTGCCGCAAGTCACCCAAGTCACCCAGCGAGGAGCGGGGCTGGGGCTGGGCCTAAAGCTGGGCTGTGCCCCACCTCCTTTAACCCCACAGTGGTCCTAACTAGAGGCTAGGGTGGGAGGGAGCGGGACGCCCGTCACCCTAGCTGCTTACAGGTTATTTGCGGGTTACTACACTGTGCGGAGCCAACTTTAGAAGGGGGTTAGGAAGCTGTGTGTTGGTCCCAATTCTGAAAGTGCCTGAAGAGATCGCGACGACACCCACAAACTCTCTGCCTCTGTTTCCTTCACTATGAGATGTGAAGGTCCTCTGGGTAATTATTATAGGTGAAATGCTTTACATTTAGTAATGAATGTCGTCTTCTCAGCAGCCCTACGAAATAGGTGATCCAGTGTTGTTTTGAACCTGTTTTTATTTTTTTACTATTATTTTTGAGATGGG